AGAGAGAGAGAGAGAGAAAGAGAGAGAGAAACGAAAATTCTCCAGCAATACTGTCGTATTTATTTTACAAATAAAAGGCTAAAACGATTAATCTTTAGATCTTATACTTGAATTTTTAAATCGTTACCCATGACTATTATTAATTTGCTGAAAAAGGACTGCATTCGCCAGAGAAACTTACTTAGGTTACTTTAATCGTTCAATATGGTAATGAAATTTCAACAGCTTAGCTTTTGTAAAGTTACTTCGATAAACTTTATTTGCGTTTTTTCCCACTGTAAGGATGTGTAAGCACTATTATTACGCGAGCGCTTAATAGAAATAGAAAAAAAGCCTTGTATTATTGCAATCGAACATTCGATCGCCTTCGACATAATGAAGCACAATTGAACATGTTCATTCGCAATATCGATTGTTAAAATTTTTCAATTAAAAAATCCATACTTGGTGTAATATCGGCCAAGACGAGCGTCATCGCGCATTCATCGAATGTCCGCACGCACGCACGCACGCACGCACGCACGCACGCACGCACGCACAAGCCCGCTCACTATTATTACTATTGTTATTGTTCTCGTTACAAAAAGATACATTGATCGCCCAATACGTTTTATCGTGTTTTCAGAAACATAACGATCGAATAAGAAATGTGATTTTAAGCGTCGTTAAATAAAACATAAAAACCATTAGTTTTTAGAAAGTCGCAGTAAATCAGTTTTACACCCGCATGGGGCAAAATTGTACATTTCGATTTCTTAATTTTAAAATCAACAAAGCAACAAGCCCTCATTTAATCTGTAATCTGACACGCGTCCCCCAGCTCATGCGGCGTGTTATCTCCCTCGTCGCCCGAATCGCCAATAAATCGAGACAAAATATAGAGCGACCCGATATTAGGAATACACACGCGCGCGCGCGCGCGTCAAACAAAAAATAACAAAAAACAAAAAACAAAAAACAAAAACAAAAACAAAAAAGGAAAAAAGAGAGAGGAGGCACAGAAGAGACGAAAATAGAAGCTCGTCCATGGAAAGCTCGACGGGCGTTCCGAGGGTCCGTGTGGGAGAGCCGCGAAGGTGAAATCGGCACGAGGTGCCAAGAACTTCCCCACTGGGCGTCGAGGCTCTCGGCGGGGCCGGTTTCGGGGAAGCTGCGACTCACCTACCCGCAGACTGCGCGACTTTTTGGCCTGAAAAGGGCTGCTGCGGACTGCCGAATGATCGATTTGAGAGCGATACGCTCGCTTTTGTATAAGGCCCGCGCCATTATGCGCCCGGGGACCTACCGGGAAAGACGAAAATGAATAAGCGGAAAGCGGTTTATTGCAGCGGTAATCTCGTGCGCCGATCGTCGGGCCCCGTTCATGCGCCCCACCAACCGCCACCCGGACTATCGAGCGGGCCCTAATTTAAGGCCAGTGGGACAGTGCGCCTCGCATAAACTTATGAAAATTGAGAATTGAGTGAGAGTGTCGGTCAGGGTGGATGGGTGAGGAAAGATGATCGCGTGCTTTGTTGAAAAATTTTTATTTTGACAGCTCACTCTTGTGTTGCGGCAATGAGTGAGAAGGGCAGCGCGCAAAATCAAGGCGTACCGATCGATTTAAATCAAATCCTATAAAAATCTATGAGTACCCATGTAGTACCGAAATCTCATGGTCGTTTGCATTGCTGCGGTAAGAATTGTATGTGGTGGTGAACGCTGCTTGACTACTAATTGTAAGCACTTGTTGGCTAGGAGTTTTAGGATTTATTAATCGGAGTCAACGTAGGTAGTCGACCGTATATAATAATTGGGCCTGATAATTTAAAAAAAATTTCGAATTAATAATTTCCCTGTATGAACACGCCGCATTTTATTATTATATGAAATTAGAAAAATATATCGTCAAGCGAGACTGGGTTTTCTTTTTATGGAATATCTTATTATATTTATTTTTAATCAGTTTTAAAGGGAAAATAACCAGAGGATATCTCTGGTATAATATAAGTAAAATCTTTTTTTACTTTTCCTTTTTTACTTATTCTCATCGGTTTCGTTAAATATATATATATATATATATAACCATTATTATGTTGTCTTGTGTATATTAAATAAGGAATATATTTTATTATATAATAGAATATTTGAGATTTAGGATATCTAAAGGACATGAAGCTCTTAATGTCTGATCATTATTTACAGAATGAATAATGACGAACAGCGTCCTACAGGCGAGATATTCTTTCCCCATAAATTATAACGACCTTTTAGGATGTACAAATATTTTTAGTTTTAGAACTGTTTTCATTTTTGAACATTTAAGATGCAAAGTAAACACAAAATTAGTTCTTCCATCATCATTTATAATCTTCGGATGATTGCAATCTTATTATAATTGTATTATATGAGATATAACGAATATATTAAAATAGGATTGGCGATTTTTACGAGATTGTATAATAGGGATTGAACAACCGTTTGCTAAATCTTCTTTTTAACTTTGCAACAAGGATCTACATGGATAAAAATATATTCTATTACTTTTGCTTTTCTTTTCTTTTCTTTTTTTTTTAAACCATGCTTTAATATAATATAAATATTTGGCTGGTAAAAAAGAGACGTGAAGATTAAGGAATTCGGCATGCGAATTCTTTTTCATATTGTACATAGAGCCAAACAAAGATATAAATTAAAGAATAAACCTATCCTATATCAACATTTATTTATTAATTTATTTTTTTTTTTTTTCAAGAACATAATAGCTTTTATTCGTTATATTGAAAAAATTAACAGCTATATTTAACATCTATATTCTAAATTTAAGCTTATTCTATGTGTGTGTGTGTGTTTGTTTGTGTGTTTGTTTGTACTAAATAAAACGTAGTTTAAAGTCTATTATTCATTTGCAAAAATACATTACAGGAAGTTAAATCAGGAAACTGAATAAATATTATTCGAATCAAGAAATTGGAATTTATTTCCCGGTGATTTACAATTACACAATAAATAGTAATTATAATTATTATTTTCTTTTAAACTTGACTGTAGTTACAATGTCATTTCAACAAATATTCTTATACTAAAATTACAATCTATGATTGAACTATGTTATTATGAATATAAATTTTAACATTATAAAAAAATTAATTTAAGCACAATATTATATGATATTTTAAATTATACATAAATAACATTTTTAAATAATTTAAAAACGTTAAAATTAAAGTCATAAAATAATGCACTAATATATTCATGAAAAATTTTATTTAAATAAAACAATTTATTACTATATAATTTCAAATTGAAATTACAATTAACGTCGGAAAGGATTTTTAAAATTCGCCAGAAATTGAAAAGATTATTAGAATAACCATTGCTTATACATTATTTTAAATTATTATTGTTGTTGTTATTCATATTCATATTATTATTATTATTATTATTATTATTATTATTATTATTATTATTATTACTGTCATCGTCAACCGATTTTTATTTCATTTGTAAAACATAAAACATAAAATTTAATTGAAAAAATGCAAATTTCGTTTTTGTTATATAATATAATGAATTTACTTATAATATTTCATAAATAATTTAAATCATTATTTAAAACTAGCATTTTGAATGACATTTATAATTTCTATTTTAATATACACTTTAAAAAGTAATTTTAAAACATTCTTTTGTGTGCGTGGCTGGGTCAGCATAAATTAACAGCTTAGACAAATATTATAATAATATTCGATAGAATAAAAGAATAGAGTGAGGTATCCAGACATTTTTTTCTTTTCTTTCTTCTATAAATTTTCATATCATATTATCCTATTGTCAAATAATGGTAAATTTACTTTACATAATCTTTATGATTTCGATTGCACATTCATAAAATTGCTTTCTGTACGTTAATATTGTAATTTTAAATTATCTTTTACAAAATTTTATAATACTTTTTTTATGTTAGAATCATGAAACCTATTGCTTGGTAAATCTTTCATTAATAAATTCCAATATTCTAATGGTATTATTATACAGAAGGTAACTTAGTACAATTATTAAAATTTTAATGAATTTTACGAATAATTCTAATGACATGTGATTAAATTAATTAAACATAATTTTACTTTTAATACTTTTAATATTATTGTTAAAGTATAATATATTCATATATCTCAAACATTATAAAAAAGGTTAATATTATTAATTTTTAGAACAATATCCATGTTAAATGTTCTTTAGTTTTTTATTAATTATTTCAAAATAATTATAATTGCAAGCTTCTATAAGAATAGACTATTACTATTTATAATAAAGTTTTAATTATCTAATTTTCGTATATTTATAAATTAAATTGTTAAGAAAAAAATTATTTCTTATGTTTAATTTACTTAACATTTTTATCGGCAGAATTCCATTCGATTTGTCAATTAAAAATGCATTATGTCATGTCTTTTGTAAATAATTTATCAAATTCCAAATAATGTATACATGACATTTATTGGATAAAGTGTTGTAATAAATTTATTTTTGAGCATTTTCAATATTTACTTATAATCGCCTTATTTCTATAATCAAAATTGTAAATACAAATAGTATACAAATGTAATTTAATGTTTATTTAAGATTATATTCGATACATAACGATGCCACGTAAATGACATACAAATAAATCCTAATTCCTTAAAGTGTATAATTTAAAAAAAAAATCAGACAATGCATTGATATACGATATATCAATAAATATAATAAACGTCCTCCCTTCTCAAAAATGCGAATTTCACGATAACTATTTAAAATACATAATAGAATACTGTCTAAAGACTTTCATAAATTAAATCTCAGTAGTGGCTAAAATTAAAAGTTACCAAAACGCTAACAACACTGTGATCTTTACCATTCTTCTACTTGTCATTGCGCAATTTTTATTACTCATTACAGCAGTTCTCGAGTAATAATTGTATCACTTTGTTAAATCAGTCCATTATGTTGGCGAATTTTTGATAATTTTTTCGCCGAATGCAAAAGAGAACTTACGCTTCCAAAAATTAAACGACTCTTAATTTATATTTGGTAGACTGTCAAGAGATGTAAGTCGCGTCTTATGCTTACGAATGAGTATATACGTATGTATTTAAAGTTTATATAATAGAGTTCGATAAAAGCTAATGACCCAACGTTCTATCGAATTATGAGTTTAATGAGTCTCGAAAATCTGTACTATGTTTTTGTTTTCAAAATTACGGAATGTCTCTGTCGCTGAAGTCGAAATTATTAGTTGCTTAGCCGCGCAAGGATAATCGATGTTGCAGCGTCGAACACAGCGGCTATGATTGCGTCATCCTGTAAAAGACAATAAATTTTTTTTTAATTAAGTCTAAGACTAAGAATCCAGAACTTTAAATACTAATTCCTGATAGCATAATAATACAAAAAATAAACTCTCTTTATTTTAATCATTTAATGAAAACTTTGTATATAATGTTCACTACTTGTCTTAATAAAATAGATCATTACCTATTCACGCAAGACTGGTTAAAAAATCGACTAGTTATTTTTACAAAATAAAACACTTTCTACCCTTGGGAGGTTCTGGTGGCTCCAGCGCAGCTAAAATTGCCTCGTCAAAAACATTTTTTAACCCTTTCTAAAATTTAAAATAAATGCAATATTAAATTTTAATAAATATTCAAATGTAATCCAATTTATATATCGATGCTATAACTATGAAATATATCATTGACATTATAGTCGCTCTATTTACCTGAGTCAATGCACTGCATTCAACGTATTTTACAGACTTCAATTCTTTTGCAAGTTTTTCACCCTGTTCAACCGAAATGGGCTTTTGTTTATTCTTTGCTAATTTCTCTATTGTAGCAACGTCATCTCTTAAATCAATTTGAGTTCCCACTAATAAAAATGGAGTCCTTTGACAATGGTGTGTGATTTCTGGCACCCACTATATAAATATTGTTTAAATTTATGAAATTTGAAGATTCAATTAAAGAATTTCGTAATATACTAGAGTATAACACAAAATACATACAATACATAGTTTACTTACTTTTTCTTTTACATTTTCAAACGAAGAAGGTGAAACAACTGAAAAACAAACTAAAAATACATCCGTTTGTGGATAACTTAAAGGACGCAGTCTATCGTAATCCTCCTGACCTATAAATAATTTTTTTATTAAAATAATAAGAAAATAAAAAGAAAACTTAAAAATTCTATAATTTTCGTAATATAAGATAGCATTAATATTGTAATAACAGCTACTATAATAATCGTGCTTTTCACAATTGTAAGTATTTCAATTATTCGTCAATGTTTAATCTCACATTATATAGACATTACAAATTGTTAAATTACCAATGTGAAATTTTTAATAATATTATATGCTTATTTAGTTACTATATATTTTGTAGACGGATAAAATACTTGCCAGCGGTATCAAACAATCCCAAAGTATAAGGATCACCTCCAATCATAACTGTTACTGCATAATTATCAAAAACAGTAGGTACATATTCCGATGGAAATTTGTTGGTAGTGTAGGAGATCAGGAGACAGGTTTTACCCACTGCTCCGTCTCCTACAACTACACACTTGATCGTTTGCATCTCCAATGTGACAATTTATCTAAAATAACAATTTTCAATTTCACACAGGTACTTTAATTACATTAGTAATTCCTCAGATGTTATTACACCAATAAAAATTTTTATGATTTTGAATTTCATTTTCAAAATAATTTAATTGCAAAAACTTATAAAAATATTACAAACAATAATAAAAATATTCACATGTAAATATTTTGAGATAATTATGCCTTAGGATGCAAATATTGGATGCACCAGAAAGTAACCTCAAAGATTGTAGAATTCAGTATCATAGACTTGTAAAGTCTCTCTAATAGAATCACCGTCAAACTGTTTATAAAATTTGTTTGCAATAATAAAGGATCGAAAGTTTATTTATCAGTCAACAAGCAAAAAATTATTATTCACTACTCCTGCCGACTAGAAATCTCGTGCAATCAAATCAGTTATACACGATCAATTTGCGTGGGATTGAGATTTTAGAATAGGAAAATTGAAATATCGAAATGAAACGACGCAATTGCAAATGCAGAGTTGTATTGTTGTTTACATGCAGATGTCACCACTTTATCGATTGTGTTGGAGTAAGGTTATGTAGGCAGCTGCAATGACTGAAAAAAAGATATGGTTATTAATATTTACTTTTAAGATTTGAAAATTCAAAATTTGTGCGTGTGTGAGTTTATATTAAACTTTGGATTTAGAAAAGTATTAAATATTATTGATGAGTGATGTACGTTATGTTAATAGGGTATTGTGGTAAAAAATTATCAGAATAAAATTTAGGAGATGATGGGGCGGGAAAAAGAGAGAGAGAGACACAGAGACAACTCATTTGAATAATTTAGTGTCTGTCTGTTGTCTTAAATCCGGTAAATGACACAGCTCATGATTAATTAATATAATTAAAATTTAATTTGATTATAATTATAAAAATGATTACGTAGAGTACAAAGTTACACTACGTTATATTAACTTGTTAAGTACTAAATATTTTTAGTTGATATACACATTTAGATGATTACAAAATAAATATAATTTATTTTAAAGCTCTAATGAAATAAGTAAATATGATACAAAAATAGTTATTTACAGAGTATTATAAATTCTGATAAAATTTAAAAATTACAGTAGATCAATCGGTTATATTAGCTAATTTATCGAATGAGATCTTACAAAATTTGTTAGGCAATTGCTTTCAGTGCGTAATTGAATAAATTAATGAAAATAATAATAATAATATGAGCAAATGATAATAACAAATCCTTTTTAATGTATGTATTATACTAACTCGAATTGAGTATAATTAATTACATAAGAATTGTAGATAAGAAAATTTATATTTATTTAGTTTCGAAAAAAACTGTTAAATATAGACTTTTATATATATATATATATATTTTAATATTTTATGCTTTATATTTAAATAGAATAAAAAATATTATTTTACAAGTATATAAATTTATCTTCAACAATAATTAATAAATATTTGTATATAATGATTTAATCATTTTGTACGAATCTTTAAAGGTATAACAGTTATTTTGTTTTTGTTCTCGCATAATGTTATTTTATATATAACAGCAAAGATGAAATTAAGTAAAATATAAATTACGCGCATAAAATTATTTATAATAAAATTTTATTTATATCAACAGTTATATAAACACATTTAAAATTATGAAAAATTTAGAAATCAGTTCTAAAACATACATCACTTTTTATTTATTGCACTTATGTTTTATATTCATATTCTAAAATTATGTTTATTCAATATAAAATAATTAGAAATGTATGTAAATATTTTAATAATTATTCTGCTTAACATACAATGATTAAATAAAACTAAATAATTATTTTCTTTAATAAATAACAATCTCATATATTGTTCTTATAAAAGAAAGAATTCCTAATAACTGAAAATTCAATTTAAATTGCATTACTATTCTCATTAATTCTTCACTGTCAGCATTTTAAAATATTCTTATTAAATTATGTTTTTAGATCGGTCCAGGCGATTACTTGATACTAGTACAGACCAATGACTCATTTCACCTTATTAGTAATGAGTATTAAATCGTTTTGTAACAAAAATAATTTTACGTCAGTCGGTAAAAATCTCCAATATTCAAATCACAGTGCTTCGATTCGTCAGAGTACATTACATTTATGTTTAACTCTTATATAAAAATAGTTGAGATTGCATTCTTTTTTCATTATTTTCAATTTATTTCTTTGTAAAAGCGAGCAGAATGCAGAAGTGATTCGAGTTTCAAGCAAACAGAATATACCCTACTTATTATTCGCTATCTTGCTTCTGGTTTTGAGAATGGTTGAAGAGAACCTGGTTGTACCCATGAATAGCCTGTAGGTTTATTCTCAGTGTCCTCCTAATAATGAAAATAACAACTTATCATCGTAAATTAAAACATATTTTAAATGTTACATGTGCATATTATGTCGAATTGGAATAATTGAAGGTAAGGAAACTTTGTATAAAATTATGGAGCACGAATATAATTTATTACTACCAAGTTACCTTTGACTTGTAGATTTCTTGTTTAACAGGATCATGTAATTCATTATCGTAAGGACTAAACGTAATGTAATGTGGATCATCTGTTGTAGGTGGATCATAAACAACACTCAAACTGTCCTTTACGCATTTTTTCGCTTGCTCTTTAAAATTCTCAAAATTGGTTTCTAATCTAAAATTAAACAAATATTCATTACTCTAAAGGAAAATCCAAATATATAGTTATTACGAGATATTTTAATTGTACAGTAATGAGGCTTCTTCGTTAACAGAAATCATCTTGCTATCAAGTTTAGTAAAAATTTTCGTTATGTATTGTACTAATTGCCAGATTCTATTATTTCTTTTCCATTCGGGAAAGCCCCAAATTGTATTAAGTTCCCCTGTTATATAATTAATTAATGGGTGAAAAACTTTAGTTTGAAAAATTACATTCTGAAATAGAAATATTTTAATATTATGAAGATAATAAATTTAATTAAAATAAAGGTTAATAAAAATTTGAAAATAAAATAAATGAGCATACTGGACATTTGCCATCTGGAAAGTTTTGAGGTAATGATATTGTAAACCTGAAAACTCCACCTTGGTACATTCCTTGGCGAATAAACTGCACACCAAACCAAACTAAAATATCGTATATTATTAATGCTAATATTTGAAAATTATAATGGAGACATTTAAAAGCCGATAGTTACTGAAAGAATTTTGTGCAGATGGAATGACATAAATTCCTCTTAAGTCTTGACTGCGTAACATATTGCTTAAAATATATTTACAATTATACATTTATGATTATGACTAGTTATATATGAATGTGTAAAAAGCATTGCTTACTATTCAGCGAGTATATTGTATTCTTGGAGATATACCAAATATTCCTTACTATTCTGCGAGGCATTTGGTCGATCTATCATTTTGATAGCAGTACTGAGCTGAGATTCGCCATTAGTATTAACTTGTAATAACTTTCTGAATGATCCCTGTCGTTTTAAATCATCTTCAGAGTCGACTTCGCTCTGTTTCAAAAAGATTAATAAATCCTATAGTTTATAAATAAGAATTTACGCTAAATGTAGACTCGATTGATCTATTACCTTAACTCCTGAAATCGAAGTATTTGTAGACATTTTTAAACTTAAATCAAAATATACACATTGTACATGTCAGTTGATAATACTAATTGAGAAATCTCTTTTCAGATTATCTTTAGATTAGGACGGATTCTTTATTATCACATATTAGGTTATGTTTCTATAGTATTTATAATATTTTGTTTAAAAATTATTCTTTGAAAATACTCATGATAAAAATATTCACAATAAGCAAGTAATCGGTCATTAAGAGTCATCTAATGCGTGAACAAAATATGTTTTAAGCTTTACAAAATTGAACGAAATGTAACTGAAAATACGATTGTATAAAGCCTATGAAACTTCTTTAAATCTATGCCTCTGCATTTTACATGAATGCAATTAAAACTCAAACTATTACATGGTTCCAAACGTATTAAAAATTATTGTTCCACGAATTATTAATAAATTCAATAATTTCAGTCCATGTCCTCGTCTGTCAATTGTCGTTTTGTTTTTCTGAACTTAATAGTTTGCATTTGACACTGACGATTTAAACAGCTGCGTAGGTAAAAAAGAGTTGACTTATGCTATTCGATATTATCGTAATACTGTAAACGTAAAGCACAAACCCTTGGGTCCGTCATTTAAAATATTTCGCATAGCATCCTAACTATAGATTCTATTTTCAATTATACATTTCAAATCATAAGCCAAATTATGCAAAATTAATTAAGTTTACTTAATGAATTAACATCACATTTACAATATTCCAATATTTCTATAAGCTCCTCAATTAATTAATTGTCTGTAATTCATAATAATGCATGGCCAATAATAAATTTACCTCCTCATGCATACATATTAAGTAATTGAATAATCGATGTAAAGTTATTATCGATCGAGTAAGCCAAAGTTCCTAAGACTGTCGACGTCACTGTTTCCTTTTTACAGAACAATAGTTGGGTTTGCTGTGGGGGAGAAACGGGTGTAATTGAATTCTCACGTGGGACAAAATTATATCATTCTCCAACAGTTCTTATCGTTTTATATATTCTTAGACTGCACTCAACGTTCCGTCATCAACATCGAAGGTTGACAACTGTCAAATGACAATCGCATTGATAAATTAATGCCGACGAACAGCAGGTGAAATGGCAGCCGAAATCAAACCCGCACCAGGTATCAATCAAGATAAGTTTAGTAGCAACAGAAAGCCGATATTATTATCGAAGCTCGAGGGTTGCAATGACGATGTTAATGGTGCGGTTATTATACCCAGAGTCGATGGAGTTATTAGTATTTGTGATGACAGGTAAATAATCTGAGCTAGCAAGTATTTTTTGTGCTTTTAAGTTTCGGCATGTCACTTGTTTATAAGAGTAGTTCTTCGCCTTTTTATAAACTTTAAAATCATTCGAATTCAGTTGAATTTTAGTAAACATATCGCGTGCGTGATTGGTATTGGCACTCGAAAGGTCATTTGAGGTAGATTCCATTGCATCAGAGATTTCATGAGATAAGATCAGAGAATATTACCTTTTATCTTTTATTGTCTATTAATTACTAATTTTATTAGCATTGTACCAATCGATGACTCGTCCTAAGCTAATATTCTTAATTGGATTTTATGTTACGTACATAATTAATTTAAAATCTTACTGGCTTTACGCTCACTTTGTCGTCTTTGTATTATTAAAGCAAAATACTTTCCATATATTGTATATTACAATAAATTTTTGACATCCATGTATTTACTACCACATTCTCTTAGATCATAGATAAAATTATCGTTATATATTTATTATATTCTCCCTGATTTAGATTTTTAAGACTTTTTATGATAAATAATATGATAAATTTGTTTTAGAACCGTCCGAGTTTGGTTAAAACGTGATTCGGGTCAATATTGGCCTAGCATATGTCAGTATATGGTTGCAGGTGCAACGTCTATGGATTATTGTCCCGAAACAAGGCAATTATTCGTTGGACTCGAAAATGGCAATATTAACGTTTGTATTTCAAATAATTGAAATAGAAGTATCGCTGAATTGCATAAATGTCATTCTTACATAGAAACATGTTTTATTGCGCTTCAGGAATTCATATTGGAAAGTGATTATAATCGAATGACACTAATTCGAGAGTATATTGCTCATCAGGCAAGGGTCACGGGTGTTATATTTTCTTTAACCTGTGAGTGGGTACTCAGTATCGGACGTGACAAGCTCTTTCAATATCACAGTACTGAGACCGGTCAAAAACTTGGAAATTTTCAAACCGAAGCTTGGTATACAGCTCTACAGTATCCTTAATTATTATAATTTATTTTCTTCAACTAATTACAAAAACATTGGTTACAAAATTTTTTATTAAAAATGCTTGCAATACATGCTTTAAATGGTAATACAACGGTCGATTCCTTAATAAGCGTAGATTTGATTCGCAATCTAAATATGCTTTTGTTGGAGACTATTCTGGACAAATACAAATGCTGAAACTTGATAATAATGGTTGCACTTTTGTTACCACATTGAAAACTCATACTGGAAGTATTCGATCTTTAGCATGGGATAGTGATAAGCAGCTTTTATTTTCTGGTAGCTTTGATCAAAGTATAATCGTGTGGGATATCGGTGGTCGTCAAGGGACTGCTTATGAATTGCAAGGTCACCAGTAAGTTAATTTTGTTGTAATAGAGTAAACATTATACGTATCGCATTTATTTTCCAATCATTTTTAAGTTATAAAATAGATTGTATATGGTTTAAGTAACTTAACAAAGAACGTTTATAATTTATTCTTTTTTAGTAATAAGGTAACTGCGCTTTGTTATACAAACACAGAACGTGTATTATTTTCTGGCGGTGAAGATGGAGTTATAGTTTGCTGGGATATGGGAGCTAATAGAAAGGAAACTGCAAATTGGGTTGAATCAAATACATGCCAAGTAAGAAAATTTATATGACAAAATATGATTTTCTAAAAATTTAAAATAATTTTATGTTATAAAAAATTTTATATAATAAAATAATTAATCGTAAATTATAGGCATGTGGGAGACCATTTTTTTGGAATATAAAAGCCATGATGGATCAACGCCAGTTGGGTCTTAGACAACATCATTGTCGTCATTGTGGGCAAGCCCTTTGTGCTCGTTGTACATCGCAACGCATTCCAATTCCTTCAATGGGGTTTGAATTTGAAGTTCGCGTCTGTGATCCATGCCATATTCAATTAAAAGATGCCAAGTATGTATTATAATGTACATAATATACATAATATATCTTAATTACATCTATTTTAAATATTTTATCCGTAACTGATCCTATTAAAAGCAAAATTCGAAATATACCAATTATTATATATATATATATATATATATTAATAGTAACTTTCTAAAACTAAATATCTATTTTAGTTTATTTTAATGTATATTGATTATAATATTAATATTTATTTCAATTTCAACATTAACATTATTTGTTTTTTTGTAATTACATTATTCTTTTTATACAGTCAAACATCATTAGCATCATTTCACGACGCTAAACATAATATTGTTTGTATGGATCTTGACGCTCCTCGGCGAAGGTTGTTAACCGTTGGTCAAGATAGAATGATTAAAATTTGGGATATTACAGCTCTACTTCAATAATTTATCTTTTACTCAGGCCAAGTAAATCATAAGAATATTATACATTTAGTCTACATTGTGACAAATGAGCGTAATAATTGTCCGATGATAACCAGTGAAACGTAAAAAGTATGAAAAAATGCATTTGAATAGATTTTATATAAATATTTTCAAAATAAGTTACAATAACATTCTAATTTATAAAGAGAATTATAGGCGAGATGAGAACTATATGCGATAAGAGAATTCTATCTTAAAATATTGCTTCTAAAGCAAACGAAACGTAGAACAATTGTTAAAGAATTGTTTTATAATATAAATATTTTATTGCAAAACATATAAATTTTTCAATAAATGAAGGAAATTAAATTTATTTTATATGTTTTTTGCTTAAATTAAGAAATAATTAAGGAGAAGCATTTATATAAATACGATAAATAAATAAAGGTTCACTTTATATTATTCCCTAGTCGCCTTAATTGTTATTAGTAATTATTTCTTATTAACTATTACAATTGCTTTGTAGACCTAATGTAAGGTACAAGTTCTATGCATTTTTATAAGCTGTTTATAACTTCCATGCAAATCGGTCATTTTGTTAATTTGAAAAAACAATTAGATTGATCTTCCACGAATAATTTATTTAACAGTTATAGTTAACGAAAAGAAATTTATAAAATGTACACCTTTCAATCAAGCCCTAAAAATACTGCATCAACAAACAAATAAATAAACAAAAAAAAAAGTAAAATATATAAAATAATAATAATAATAATAATAATAATAATAATAACAATGGGGGTAATTACCATTGCGGCGCAATTCAATTCCTTGCATATTCACGATAATCCGGATATAGCCCGATTGTGCTGCAGGTACTTGTGTTGTTATGGCTACACCGGCTTTACCTCTGGACACGTAAAGTAACACAAGTTGACATAAGCCGCTGGTATAATTGCAGCTTCGTGCAATATCGTAAACTACAACGTAAACAGCGCCAGATATTCTGTCCGTTCTTCGAGTGAATTCGTACGAAGCATCAATCCCTACGAAATATGAAATATTACTGTTTATAAAATCTTTCGCGCCCACCCCTGACTACCCTTTACAATGTATATAATATGCACACCACATAAATGTATGTAATAATTTGACCGTACTGTATACTTCATTGTATAACTGTAATGAGCATAAGGAATCGTGACTGCTGTTATCTGTTGCGCGATAATGTTATTTAGTTTTCTATATAAACAAATATATAAAATATATAAACGTTTCCCATTCATATTAATTGAATGTAGCGTGAGTAAATGTGCTGTAACAAATCTAATTAGGTTTCATATTGGATCAAGCATTTGTTAATTAAGGCATATTTACACGTGTACGATAATGTTGATGTATTGCAAAATTTATCCAATCATTATATTAAAAATATACAAAATAAATTATTTGATAATATTAATTAATTTGAAATTTAATTCACGTGTAAATAAGAATACAATCTTCGAACATTCTATAATATTGTAAAAATTTATCTATTTTACAATAAACTAGCCATTTGAATTAAGATTCCGTTATCGCAAAAGAAAAGAAAAAAAAAAAAATATATATATATATATATATATAAATATATGTATAAATTATATAAACTTATGCAAGCCTTTGAATTAATTTTAAAAAAGTTCATACGTAATTTTTTACTTAATAATTTATAATTAATGATTTTTTGTTGTTGTAATAGCCGAGTACGCGTATATCAAGTAGTACTAATTAAAAAAAAAACAAAACAAAAAAAATATGATAATTTCAAAGCTTATTTTTAATATTTGTTTTTGCCGTTTATATGCTATTTATCAATTATTTAATTTATTTAAATTGCTATTTTCTCAATTATAAATAAACTTACTAATGATTTTTTTTTTAAAATTATTTCCTTACATAACGTCGCTCATTAATAAGAAAAAATTAACGCATCTAGTTTACATTATGAAATTATGTATCTTAATAAAAAATTTGTATACTCACAATATATATATATATACATCCTACATAGATGTTATATAGCATATTATATTATAAAAGAAATTTCTAAACTGCGAAAACTTTATTAATACATGTTTTATGAAACAATAGAAATTGACATTTTTGTTTATATTTTTTATATATTTGTAGAAATGGCTTTAATTACTATTTTTGCCTTTAAATAATTATTAAAAGCAAATAATATTTAATTCTTCTAAAGATACTGGTTAAGGCTCTAAATTATCTATTCTAGTATTGGATAAATTTCAAGAAGAGAAAATCATGGGAAAAAATGTTCTACATATATTATTGTACTATGTTATAATAATTACATTATAATTTTAAATTATTTAAATTATATAATAAATCTGAACATTAAATTGCGCATTTTAATATTTATTAAACACTTAATCCAGTAATATGTATCAATGTTTTTTTTTATACTGGGTAAAATCCATATATAAACATATATATATATATATATATATATATATTACCAATTTTCCATACCTTCATTGCACTGTTATTTTAATTTTCTCACAAAATATATTACGTAATTATTAATGGACATTTTGGAATATATAATATTGTACTTAGTTCATAGCATATTATATCATTATGATAATAAATATGTATAGAAAATTGAGTTCCTCGGTAAAATAGTTGATTTTTATAATAAAGATCGTTGATATGGTTATTTTTATCGTTTCAGATGGTTCGATAAATTGTTATATTTTCTGATTAGTAGCGGTTGGAATAGTTTCTTAAATTCATTAGAAAAGGTGCTTATTTTGGTTTTGGTATTCATCAGTGCACTTTCACCGGTCATTGTCTGCATCCATTTAAATCTACGATAATGAACATAAGATCATTAGAAAAAGTTTTTAGATTAACACTAAACATTGCTTTAAAATGTCTTATTGCGTATTTCTGAAATGGCCGATCAACTATTAGAGTACTCAATGGAAATCCCATTTTACATCCTTACAAACTTTCACGAATTCTTAATTTCTATTTTAATTTCGTACACTTTCATTCAAAGGTCAGCTATAACAACGGCATAAGTGTGGGTAATGTGGATAACATCAACAGACCTTTACGACACAAATTTACTTTTCATTGAATTGCAATAAATAATAAATAATATGTGAAAATAGTAGAGTTCATGATAACTTATTTTATACAACATTATTTGTTGAAATGAAACTATTTGGCGTACAGGATAATTTTATTACTTTTGTAATAGAAGTTAAAATACAGGCTTGAATTCAATTTAAGTGGTAAGTTATTTTAATCTTATACAATAATTGAATTCACAATGATATTATTTTATGATGTACATATTACAATTATAATCATACATTTTGTATTTAATATTTTTTATTTTTTCATAGCTCTAGATTTACAGAAGATTCATCATAAAATTAATAAGTAATGCTCATTCATATTGTCGGCTTTTAAATCGCATCATCTTTAAAAATCTTTGTATTTTCTGATATTTTTAATTACATTGATCCCTGATAGCATTGATGATTTATGATTAGAAAAAATTAATTGATAATAATATTTTTGTACGATTTTAAAAATCAATGAGTCAATTTAAAAAAAAAAATTTTTTTTTCTAATAAGTGCGCAACGTATTCAGCGGAAGTGCAATTAATGCATTTGTTCAATTAGTATTTCGTCTATGTTAATTAAGTTTAATTTAAAATTATTAATAATATTATTTAGAAGGATTGTTTGAATGTAATTTTTATCCAGTAACTTATTAATTGTTCATTGGTATTTGGTGTTTTCAATGGTCTGAAATTAGACGCCCTAAAATTAGTATTTGATGAGGGTAAACAAATTTTGATGTTAACATTAAGTGAAAATTGGTATTTTTTCTTAAACTGCATAAAGAAATTTATTTGTTACTTATTTCTTAACATTTTTACTGTAATTAAATTAAAGTACATTAATTAAATTAATACAATATTAAGCACCAAAAATTTTCTATATCTTAAATTGTGCAGTGATTCGATAAATAAAATAATATAAAAAAGATATAAACATTTAGAAGAATAAGGAATAATGTATTTTAATTATATGATCATGATCTTCCTGTATTTTTTAAAAGGAATTTATTTTCTAAAGTGTATTGTAAACAAGTTTTACAAATTTTTTCCGACATTTTATTTCACATCGTTTGTAAAACGAATAATTATTCTCACAAGATAAAATTACTCAGAAAATAAAAGCCCGAATAATTTTACAAATATCACATCGCCTCTAAAAAAATTTCTATACAATTATAAAAGAAGTATCTGATAAATATAATTCTTCATGAAATTCCAAACAGATATAACAAGAATCGTTTTTTACATAATGTAAGCTGATGTTTGCATCGTCAATTAGTTCAAACTGTTGTATATTTAAGATTTTGGCAAATTTTTTTTAAAATTCTAATTAATTCTAAATTACGCGGCATTTATTCTTAAACGCTTATGAGATTCATCTACTTGTATATAACATTAGATTTTTTTTCTTCTCTCATTTTTTCCTAATCATAATTCAGGATTTTTAGAATCTTATGATTTGCTCATAATTTTAGTTTTTTTCTTTGCTAATAAATTTACTTTTATATAAATTTAGAATTTGCATAAATATTTAGTAAAATATAACTGGATTTAGACAAAGCGGATAAATTTTCCGTAAAAAAAAATTACAACACCCACTATTGCACAGATAGAATTTAAACTCGGCTAATAATCCTGCATTGCCGGTAAATTATATGGTAAATTGAAAGAGCAAATTTAATTTATTCAATGTGAAAATGAAATCTATGCTTGAATACAAAATGATTTAAAATGATTTAATACGGATTGAAAGTAATTTATGATCATCAAGACTCATTATTACGATTACGATGAAAAGCACGTACCATCGGTATCTATTTAGTCTACCGATAAAATCGTTTTCTCTATCAATCGTAGGCGCTCAAGAATAGCATTACAGCGCGTAAAAGTTGAATTTTGCAACGCGTAAGCACTCGATAAACTCACATAAACATTGAAATGCATTGAAATGCATTGTGAGACCGCGTGACCGACAATTCGGAGGAGGAAAAAGCTGCTCCGTCCGCCTAGGGTAAGCCGATATCATCTGCCATCATCATTATTGCACGTACGGTCGTCGTCGGTGTACATGACGAGCGCGGTTGTGCATCTCAGGCCCCTGTTCTCCATATCGGTCGGTAAAGTCGATTGGCCGGTACATGTGACTTGGTTCCGGACGGGTAGGAGGGAGGGGATCAAGAGAGCAGCAACAGGTGCGTCGTCGGGCGAAGCACGGT